AGTGAATAACAATGTGGGTGAATAACAGCCAGGTTAAATATAGTCACTTCTGTAGAGCACCTCTGCTCCGAGGGGCTGCTCTAAGCACTTTATGTGTACCATTAATTCATTTAATCTTCACAACAACATTCTGAGGTGGTTACTAGAATTGTATCCTTTTTTTTTTTAACTGAGCAAAGGGAAGTCTACAGAGTTCAAGTACCATATCCAAGGTCAGGAGCTAGGAGTTGGAAATAGGGGAGCTGGGATTCACACCAAGGTCCCTGCAGTGTATCTTTAGCTGAAAATGTAAGGAAACATTATCCTCAGAGACCCTGGAAGGAACCAGCCCTGCTAACACCTGGACTTTAGCTCAGTAAAAGTAATTTCAGACTCCTATTTCCAAACTGTAAGAGAATAAATTTGTGGTAATTTGCTATGGCAGCAATAAGCAACTAATATACCACTGATACTCTAACCTGTGTTAAAGTATGGCTTATAATTATAATTTGGGAAAATTATTTAACTTTTGGGAGCCACAGCTCCTCCATCTTGTCATGGCCATAATAATGTTTACATTATAGAACTAAGAGGATGAGAGAATGGAGCCTGGCACAAAGCTGTTGCTCCATAAATGTTAGCTATGTGTAAACACTATATGTATTCTCTAGCAACCTCTAGACGTTGCCCTTTAGGTCCTTAGGAGACAGTTGTTTAGCTAGTCTGTGGATCCCTTGGTATCTTTGCAGGAAAGGGAACCCTTGTACCCTGGATCACGACAGCCATGAGCCCTGAGTGACATTGATAATGTCAGGACCCCATAGCAAGGAAGTCAAAGGGATCCTGATGTTACCCTGAGAGGAGTCTTGGAGAAGAGGAGGGAGGTTCTAGTGTAATGTGACGATTAATCAAAATCTACCCTCAAGTCTCACTATGAAGTACAGTACTGAGGTTTGTTTCATTGTTTTATTTTCCTTAAACAAATATACTCGCTTGTGTTTTTCAGTCCTTTCACTTCCAGTTGAAACATCTCTGCCATGTCTCTTCTTAAGCTAATGGATATTTTTTCACCAGTCAATTATTTAGTCAGGAAATATTTATTGAGCACCTACTATGTGAAAGCATGATGCTAGTGCCAGGGTATACAGTCTAGAGGGGGAGACACATTAAACAGACAAATACACTCAGACACATGTAAGTACAAATTGTGATGAGTGCTAACTAGAAGAAAACAGGGTGAGAGATGGAACTAAAGGGGGTAGAGTGGTGTTGGGTTTACTTAGACAGGGAGAACAGAGAAAGCAATTCATCCATCCATCCATTCATTCATGCAGTCAATCAACACGTATTTANTAAACAGACAAATACACTCAGACACATGTAAGTACAAATTGTGATGAGTGCTAACTAGAAGAAAACAGGGTGAGAGATGGAACTAAAGGGGGTAGAGTGATGTTGGGTTTACTTAGACAGGGAGAACAGAGAAAGCAATTCATCCATCCATCCATTCATTCATGCAGTCAATCAACACGAATTTATTCAGTACATATTATGTGCCAAGATCTGTCCTAGGCATTGGGGTACAATGGTGAACAAGAGAGTTTTTGTTCCCCTAGAGCACGTNTATTCAGTACATATTATGTGCCAAGATCTGTCCTAGGCATTGGGGTACAATAGTGAACAAGAGAGTTTTTGTTCCCCTAGAGCACGTGTGTGTGTTTGTGTATGTGAGAAGGTGTGTGTGTAAATAGATTATAAATGCGTTAATAACTAAATACAGTTGATTCTCATTATTTACAGATTTTGTATTTGCAAATTCACTTGCTAAAATTTATTTGTAACCCTAAAATCAATACTTGTGGCACTTCCGTGGTCATTAGTGGACATGCTTAGAGTGGCCAAAAAAATAGAGTTGTCCCATGAGCATGTTGCCAGCTGAGGTTAAACAAGCCAATGCTCAGCCTTCTTGTTTCAGCTCATACTGGAACAAGTGCCCTTTCTACTGTCATTTATGCCACATTTCCCACATTTTTGTGCTTTTTGTTGGTGATTTTGTTATTTAAAATGGTCCCCAAGTGTGGTGCTGAAGGGCTGGACAGTGTTCCTAAGCGCCAGAAGGCTGTGATATGCTCTGTGGAGGAGATACATATATTAGATAAGTATGGTTAAGGCATGAGTTATAGTGCTGTCATCTGTGAGTTCAGTGTTAATGAATTAACAATATATACTAAATAAAGTGTCTTTAAAAAGAAACACACATAAAAAGGTTACATATTGATCGGTTAATGAAAGTGTTAGGCTCATAGGACTCTAACCCTGTATTTCCCCGAAGAGCAATGGCTCAGTATTTACTAATTCAGTGTGCACAGCAACTGTCTAGAACTCCCATAAATAATGAGAATCGACTGTGCTTTAACTTCAGAATTATGGCAAGTGCTATGAAGGCAAGGGTACTAGGCGAATGAGAGGCCTTCAGGAAAGGCCTCTTCCAGAGATGGGATCTGAATGAGGAGGAGATGGTTGCATAAAGATCTGGGGAAAGAGCTCTCCGGGTGCCTGGAGCAACAGCAAAGGCCCCGAGGCAAGAACAAATTTGGTATGTTCTGTGCTAGGCAAGAGAAGAGATCGGACAAGAAGGCAGAGCCAGGGCTACTATAAGGACCAAGAAGAGCCTTGGGAGAGTTTCAGCAAGAAAGAGACGAGGCAGGTTGCTGTGTGCAGAATGGACTGAAGGAGGCTGAGTGGGAGCAGTGGCATCAGGTGGGAACTAAGGAGCTAGTCTAAGTGAGGAACGCGGGGGCCCGGGCTGAGGCAGTAAGGGGATGTGACATGAGCAAGGCTGAGGACTATCTCAGAGGGGAAGTTCACGTCAGTCGAGATGGTTTAAACGGAGTGGGGGTGTGGCAGGCGAAAGGGTCAAAAACGGCTCCCATGTTTAAGGGTGGTGCATTCATTGATTCAGTAGACATTTGTTGGGCCGCACAGTCTGCCCCAATGCCGTTTACTGTTAGCTGACATCCCCCGACCACCTCCACACTCCCGTCTCCTTGCCCTCCGCGCCCCCCCCGGGTTGTTGCTTTGTCGCTCCCTAACCAGCCTCTGCTGCTGCCCTGGCTCCTGCAGTTCTCACCAGAATAGCCGGGGTGCTCTGTTCAAAACGCAAGGCAGGTCACGCCCCTGCTCTGCTTAACACCACCAGGGGCTGCCTGTCCTGTATGATTAACAGCCCAAGTCTTCACAACGGCCCACAGGCTCCTAGATCTTTCTCTTTTCCACCCTCGCTGTTTCCTCTGTTTCCAAACGCGAAGTATGTCAGCTAAGTCAACCCTAAGAGGAAGTTTCAACAGCAGCGAAAGCAAAGCCTTGCTAGTTATTTAGCCTCTAAAAGAAGTAACAACATTAGTTTGGCTGTCTAAGTTCTAGCTTCTTGGCTTAAAAATCAGCCTTTCTCCTTGAAATAGTAGAATCTTACTGTGAAGCACAGATAAATATTGCTCAAGAGCCAGAGTTTTAAAAATATTATTCTAATAAAAGTAATAACGTGCAGATTTACCACACTTTATAATTACAAAAGGTCTCTCAATAATCATTCAATTTGGATTTTGAAAGGATGGGTTGGCCTGAGTCTATTTCTCAGTTTAAAATTCTCTCTTCTGCCCAGCTGGTATGGTTCAGTGGTTGAGCATCAACATGTGATCTAGGAGATCATGGTTTGATTCCCGGTTAGGGCACATGCCTGGGTTTTGGGCTCTACTCCCAGTGGGCATAGAGCCCAAAACCCAGGAGGCAGGAGGCAGCCGACAAATGACCCTCTCTCATCATTGATGTTTCTATCTCTCCTCCCTTCCTCTCTCTGAAATCAATAAAAACATATTTAAAAAAAATAAAATTCTCTCTTCCACTCTACTTTTTATTCTTTCTTTAAAAATATTTTATTTTATATTCTAAATGACCTGATGTAATTTTTGTCCATGTGCATTTTGGTCAATTGCTTCAATTTGTACTCTTCTCACTTGCTTATTGCATATTGAAGTATTGTACCTGGAGACAATTTCTAAATTGCATTTTGACTTACCCATGCTCTCCATATTTACAGGTTCCACTTCTTCAACAACTAGAATAGAATAAAATAATGTCAAATTTACATTTTTGAATCAAATATATATCTTCGTTTATTACAATTTTTTTAATCAGGTCTCAAAACACGAAACATAAATGCAAATGTACAGTGAAGTCTTAAACTATTCTATGAATAATTAAATAAACAGAATTACCTCTTAATGATGTTTCCTATGGTGTTTCATTGATATGGTAATAAAATACAAAATGAGAACAAATACTCATATTTTTAATTCTGCTTGTGTTTACCTTTATGACAACCAAAATATTTAAGTTTATTTGATACAAAAAACCATGATCATTTTGGCTGCTAACATATGTACAAATACTAAATAAAGCCATACAAATCCTATTAGTGAAAAGATAATCCTACCAGGTAATAGATCCTTATTTTCGATAAGGTCTGTCGTCTTTTTTTTGACACCAGCCTTCTTTTTTCGTGGAGACTTTGGAGCCATGGCTCTGACGTAGGCTGCACAAAGAGAGAAGGTCATTAGACGTCTGGCTTACAGTTTCAAATAGTGAGCATTAACACTTAGTAAACATAAGAATATGTTTTCTAAGTTGAGTCTTCGGCTAAATCAACATGTATCTTCATAGAATGGGTGTTCAGCCTGGTGAATATAGTCTAAACTGAAAAGGATTACTTTGGAAGTAGCTACCTTACATAATATTTGTGTTTGAGGCAAAATTGTTTAGTTTGCTTTAGTAATTGCAAATAATAAAAACTCTACCAATATTGTGTCTAGAAAGTAAATCACTTTTAATTGGTGATATCTAAATCAAATGAATAGCCTGCATAATTTCAAAAAACATACTTATTCAGATTTACTTTTATGCAGATTTCCCTTTTAAAAAATAAGTCCCAAATAAAAGATATTGCTTTTAAATGACAGCAGAGCTTACTAAATTCTTTTCATAAAATTGCATATTTTATGTGGTGAATGTGCTGTATTACACTTTCCAAAACTTTCCCAATTAAATTGACTCATAAAAGATTTTAAATACAAATATTTTACTAAGATTACTCTGAAATGCTCGCCCCACTTTTCATGCTCCCAACTAAAGTAAATTTACTATTATTAAAGTAGCAGAAGAGTTAATTCATCTATTCCTGAAATAAAGGTTATGCTTACCTCAGTGGCTTGTATTACAATTGCTTTGCAAAGTCACTATAGCTGATTGAATTTCAAAGCAGAATTTGTTGAAGATATAAATATTTAAGCATTCCACTTAAATATTTTTATATTAAAACCACTTATTTTCTTTGCACACTAATTCACCATTCCAGAATACCTTTCTTCTAACAATGTAGCAAAGGACACATATTCTACCTTCCACATTAGCGGCAAAAAATATTAGAGAGCGATGAGAGAAGTGAGTACTGGGACAGTCCTCTGTGTACCAGTTCAAGACCTGTGAGGACACTCCAGTGATTATGAGGAACATTGCATTCAGAGCTGTCCATGACCTTGTTCCAAACTAACTTTCAAGACCTCTCTGTGACTATCTTTTTATGAATCTTTTATTATTTATGAAGATAACGATTACATATGAAGGAATAAGTGACAAATTATAATTGATATAATACAGCAGTTTAAACAGTTATTCGTGTCTTCTCTTCACTTTATTTGGCTACAACGCACACACCTGCTTACATGTTCCCATTTGCTACCTGTACGCCTGAGTGGCTTACTCCCTCAGCAGATCTTGAAATCTGAGAAGACCAGTAGCACTGGGGCCCTGTCCCTCTCTGGGGAATCCCTTTCCCTCCCCCTGCTCCTGTTCCACACCATGCACACATTTCTCTGCTTGCTTGAATTTTACTCATCCTGCGAGGCCCAACTCCAATAGGACCTTCTCCCTGAAGCCTCTCCAACGTTCTCACGCAGAGGCTTCAACAATTTTGTTCTCCTTGATGCTTTCTAATCACACTGCAGTGTCGTTAATCATGCCAGGCTTTTGCAAAGGCAGAGGGCCTCAGACTCAGAGGTGCCTGGAAATTGCTGTGAATTCATTCAGCATCCAGTACACACTGGGTAGAAGGAGAGAGAAATTATTGAGCAGCAAGTAGGTACCAGAGGTCACCAGATGAGGAAGGCAAGGTCCTTACTTTCAAAAAATTAATGTTTCCCGCTTCATTTTCTTCACTCTTTATCTACTCCAGCCCTTTCTTAACCGTCCTGAAGTCATCTCTGTAACTACTTGATCTTTAGATACAAATACACATTGATCCCCTCTTCTGCGGTCTCCAATACCGATGACTAACCAGGATCATGCTGCTCCCCTTTCCACGCATGCATCATTCTCCCGGTACTTGCGGAGCTCCCACTGTGTGCCAGGCAACGTGCCGAGCTCCCACTATGTGCCAGACCTGGGAACGAGACTCGGGACCTGCCCTCAGCGTTCTTAAGAAGGTCGTTAACTGCTCTCTCGTTGCTGTTTTTGTCTCCTGGCGAGACGGGAAGGTCTCTGAAAGCAGGAAACGTTTCGTACTTTTTTGTGGTCTTCCCCGCGTTCAGCAGGGAGCCGGCACCGCGAGCGTTTCAGCGCCCTCCAAGGACTAAAATGCTTGTTTTCCGAGCCTCCTTTCCGCTCCGAGCTTCTCTTACCTGACCCCGCTGACCTGAAGAGAAAGACGCCTCCTTGCAGTTCCCTAGGGAGAAGCTCCTCTGGCGCTGGAGATGGAAGTTTGACTCTCGTCTCAGGAAAACAAACCCTAAGGGCCCCCAACGCAGCTCCTCCGCGGGCGGTTGCTGGGACGCACCCGTTGCTAAGAGAAAAGGGGCGGAGACTCGGCAGAGATTGACAGAGCACCAACACCAATAGTCTCCGTTTCCTGACCGTCTCTCTCAGAAAGGGCTTGTGATTGGTCGCGCTGATGAAACGTCACGTACCTTCAAACTGGGAGGGGCCCGCAGCTTTACCCCCGCAAGGAAGGGGTTGCGCAACTGAAGTATATTGAGAACAGCGGCCCCGCCTGACCGCGGGGGTGACGCGCTGGGTCCAGCGCAAGCGGACCTGAAGGAGAACCCTTTTAGGGTGTGGCCTCCAGCGGCGGGGAGGGGAGGGTGATGCGAAGATTGCGGGGTTAGCGCCCTCGGGGCAGCTGCCCTGCCTTCCCTGGGGGCGAGCTGGGCCCCCCAGAAACCCGCCCAGCTCCCGGGGTGAAGGAAGAGAGAATGTATTTAAATTACCTGTAAGAAGGACTGCTACCTGCCAGAGACATTTCGTAATAAAAGGCATTAAAAGGAGGAAGATTCAACGCAAAATAAATTCTAAAGTCATTATTAAAAGTAAAAAATTAATATTTAAAAAGCTATTCTTTAGGACAATGGACACAGACATTGGTATGGGGAAGGCCTGGGGGTAGGGTGGATGTGGGGTGGAGGGGATCAGTGGGGATAAAAAGGGACATCTGTAATATTCTCAACAATAAAGGAACATTAAAAAAATAAAAAAAATAAAATAGCAAAAAAAANAGACATTGGTATGGGGAAGGCCTGGGGGTAGGGTGGATGTGGGGTGGAGGGGATCAGTGGGGATAAAAAGGGACATCTGTAATATTCTCAACAATAAAGGAACATTAAAAAAATAAAATAGCAAAAAAAAAAAGAGGAAATTTTATTAAAGAAAATACTCAGATGGTAAATAAATATGTCAAAAAATGAAAAAAAAGTCAAAGAAATATAGAAAACTAAAGTGAGGGCCACAACAATGAAAGATAACAGTGGTAACACCATCAATATTTGTATCACAAAATAAAATGCATGATTATTATATAAAAAAGTTATTCTTTAAATGACAATTTAAAACAACACATTATTGTCTTATCCAACAGATTTGATCTTTGTTTTTGACAAATATTCCAGATAAGGGAAATTTTCTCTCATTCTGTGACATTGGCTCCGTTGTTAAAATTGCTTACAAAAGCATTATCAGATTGGGCATTAGGGCATCTGTTGCTTTATATAAGCTCGTTTACTTTCTCTTGAAATCTTTTCATTTTTTTTAATCTGATAAGATTTCTTCTGTTGGTGACCAGTTTACAGCCTTTGCCCAATTTTTTAAAAATTTATTTTTCAATTGCAGTTGACTTACAATATTATATTAGTTTCAGGTGCACAACATAGTGAGTAGATATTTATATAACTTAAGTGGCCACCCTGATGAGTCTAGTACCCACCTGACAACATACATAGTTACTAAAACATGATTGACTGTATTCCCGATACTGTACTTTCTATCCCAGTGACTGTTTTTATAACTCGCAATTTGTACTTCTTAATCCTTTCACCTTTTGCATCCATGCCCCCAAACCCCCATTCACCTGGCAACTATTAATTTGTCTTCTGTATCTGTGGGTTTGTTTCTGTTTTATTTTTGTCATTTATTTTCTGTTCTAGGTTCCACATATAAGTGAAATCATATGGTATTTGCCTTTCTCTACATGACTTATTTCACTTAGCATAATACTCTCTAGGTTCATCCATGTTGTTGGCAAGATTTCATTCCTTTTTATGGTCTAGTATTATTCCATTTTATATAAGTACCACATCTTCTTTATCCATTCACTATCAATGGACACGTAGGCTACTTCCATATCTTGGCTATTGTAAACAATGCTGTGATGAACGTAGGGGTGCATATGTTTTTTGGAATTAGTGTTTTAGATTTCTTTGGATAAATACCTAGAAGTGGAATTTCTGGATCATATGGCAGTTCTAAGATTAATTTTTTAAAGGAAGCTCCACACCGTTTTCCAGCTGCACTAATTTACAAGCCCACCAAGAGTGCAAAATGGGTTGCCTTTTCACCAAACAATTGTTTGTTGATTTATTGATGATAGCCATTCTGATATGAGTGAGGTGATACCTAATTGTGGTTAATTTGCGTTTCCCTTATGATTAGTGATGTTGAGCATCTTTTCATATGTCTGTTGGCCATCTGTATGTCCTCTTTGGAGAAATGTTTATTCAGGTCCTCTGCCCAGGGGACCTTTTTATTGAATTTATTTTTCCTTTTTATTGAATTTATTGGGATAACACTGGTTAACAAAATTATACAGGTTTCAGGTGCATGATTCTACAACACATCATCTGTACACTGTATTGTGTGTTTACCACCCCAAGTCAATTCTCCATCCATCACCATTTATCCC